CGGAGCTAACCGAGGAAGGAGGCTGCTGTTTCTGCTGCCGCCGCCGCCAGCCGGGGCATAATACGGTAAATAAATACGAGCATGGGGATCCGCGTGTGAACGAAGCCCCACTCCCCCTCCCCTTTTGCTTTCGCTCTCGAGCCGGCGCTTTTTTTTTCTTGAAATTTCCCTCTTAAAATGAAGGTGCGTGTTATACGCCGATAAATACGGTAGATAGTGTAGCCTTGATGTCTGCAGGATACAAGTTATTCAGTCATTGCACATTCTTCTGGCTGTTCCTAGTTGGCAGTGAAGGAATGCAAGGGAAGAGAGATTTAGAGGTCAAGAAAGCTTAATAAATACTGTTTAGTTTAGCCTGGCACTTAAAAAAAACAGTATTATAGTTGCATTATATCATTGTACAGTTTTATTTTTGTTTCAAGAAAAATAATATACACTAAAGTCCTTACATGCCTCATAAACAACTTTGGGGCACTTTCTTGCTTCTTATGTTCGCCAATTTGAAACAGGACTTGCCCACAGAAGTTAGCAGAGACTGGGGCAGGGGTAGTTAGTGAGTGGATGAGAACAGAAGGACAACTTTACTGTAGTTTCTTTGGTTTGAGGTTGTGGGTAATCAAGCTTTCAATGAAAACCATCTCTCTAAAAGTGGAAAGTACATCATATGGGCTACACTTGGTCTCACCAAAATGTTTCTAACTTAATGTTCTTCAGATGGATTCAACAATTTGCAGAATTTTGGGAAAGTTGGAAAAAGGCTGCTAGAGGTTCTCTAGTGTAGATCAGTATTGACCACATGGGGTCTTTCAAATCTAAAAATGCAGGTAGTCCTCAACTTACAACAGTTTGTTTAGTGACCATTCAAAGTTACAACAGTACTGAAAAAAAATGACTTATGACCATTTTTCACTCTTATGACCATTGTAGCATCCCCATGGTCATGTGATCAAAATTCAGACCCATGACAACTAACTCATATTTATGACAGTCGCAGTGTCCCGGGGTCATGGGATCATCTTTTGTGACCTTCTGACAAGCGAAGTTAATAGAGAAACCAGATTCACTTAACAACTGTGGCAAGAAAGGTTGTAAAGTGGGGCAAAATTCACCTAACAAATGTCTCACTTAGCAACAGAAATTTTGGGCTCAGTTGAGGTCATAAGTCGAGGTATATCTGTAGTCCCATCCATACCCAAGATGAGTTAAAAAGCAATGAAATCTCATGCAGTTTTAACAATCTTGAGTAAGAATGCAAAACATACATGAGATGCTTTGCAATCACATTATTCTTACAAAGATTTTACAAGAATCTGCATTCTTGCATGTGATTTCGGTGATCTCAATCTGAGTTCTGATGAAATAGTAGGAGATTTAATGGATGGTATTCAGGCTTGAAAATACTGCTGACTACTAAATGAATTATCAGTTCAGTCTTTTTAAGTCATATCAGATGAAATTGTGCACAAATTTACTTGGGGGTTGATTTTCTTGAGATCAATTGAAATTAACTTTTTAATAGTTACATATATTCCCTTGTGGCGTCTCATGTTTTCAATAGGTTATTTTTATCTGCTCATGCTAAGGATAGATACACTCACAAGTACTACTGATTTTCTATTATGGGGCTTACTGAACAGACTGCAGCTGGAATTTAGGCTGGTTGTCTTTTTATTACAGTGGAACAGTGGGTTTAAAAGATATCTTTATAGCTTAAAATTTAGGTGTTTTAGATACAGTACATACATTGTCTGGCTGCCCATAACACTATAAAAATTAAATACCGTATCTTTTTGCAGCAGCCACTATTTCCAAACTGCAGAAATAAATTTGTCCATCCATCCATCCATATTGATTCTACATAAGCTGAAAATGGCATAAACTCCTTGTCTGTATTTAATTTTCCTTTGAGATATTCATAGCAAAAATTTCTTTTGTCCTTCCAAAGTTTTTGCTTTAGAAAATTCATGTTTTAGGCTTTAGAATTCCTATAGAAATTTTGGATCAAACCAGATATGACATTCAGTCCCTTGAGACTAAGTAGAATTATGAGATTCATATTGCACTAAGCCATGTTTACTTTTATCTTCGTATGATATGCACCTTAGGTCAGTGAAAAAAAGACATGGTTTATTTTAAGACAAGGAACCATAATGTGAATTATTGGTTTATTGGTTTGTTGGTTCTAACTATTAGTATGAAGCATAAAGTAAGAGCAGCAAAAATAGTATTGGGGGAAAAACATAGATTGCTAATCAAACCATGATTAAGGTTTTCCTTTAGTCTTTCATCTCCAATTCTTTGGGGAGTCATAATTTTTCCTCACAGTTCCTTTTAGTTTTCTGCATACAAAGGCTGCCACAATTACTGCTTTAGTTTTGACATCAAAATAATCAGTTAATGTAGCAAACAGCAATTAGAATAGAGCTGGAAGGGATCTTGGAGATCTTTTAGTCCAGGGGTATCAAACTGCCGGCCCATGGGCCGGACGCATCATGCGGGAGCCGCGCCCACCCCATTGCCGGCAATGGCAAAACTCTCCCAATACGTTGCGCGACGTCACATGACGTCGCGAGTTTGACATGTCTGTTCTAGTCCAACCCCTTGCTCAAGCAGGAGACCCTATACCATTTCAGACAGGTGGCTGTCCAGTATTTTCTTAAAAACCTCCAATGATGAAACATCTTCAACTTCTGAAGGCAAGCTGTTCTCAGTGATTAATTGTCCTCACTGTTAGGAACTTTCTTCTTAATTCCAGATTGCTTCTCTCCTTGAGTAGTTTCCATTGTTTCTTGTCTTGCCTTCTGGTGCTTTGGAAAATAAGTTGTGGCAGCCCCTCAAATACTGGAATACTGCTATCATGTCACCCTTAGTCCTTCTTTTCTCTAGACTAGCCATACCCAATTCCTGCAACCGTTTTTCATATGTTTTTGTCTCCAGGCCCTTAATCATCTTAGTTGTTCTCCTTTGCACTTTTTCCAAAGTCTCAACATCTTTTTTGTAATGTGATGACCAAAGTAAGGTTCTTGATTCAGCTGGCTTCCCTGTTCTCTGTGGTTCTGATCAGTTACTCTGTTCCCTCTGCAGGACACAAAGATACCATCTGCTTATTTGTGTGACACTGTGCTTTTATTCTGTTTTCTATCTGATTTTGTGAGCTGCCCAGTCTCGTTTTGGAGTCAGGTGGCAGGCGCCTAAATCCAATAAATAAATAAATAATAACTCATGTGCAAGCTGTTCAAGAAAATAGTTTATTCAAGTTCAAAGGCTTTCCAATGCTAAAGACAGAAATGTTAACGACAGAGCTTCTGCTTTGCCTGCAGAGTCAAGATTCCTGGGGTAGATAGACCAATGGGCTCCATAGTGGGGAATATATGTAGCTGACAAATGTTTTTTGGATGGGGGGGGGGTTGTGTTCCTTGCTTCTCTTTCTGCAGATATTTCCTTACTAGCCTGTAAATGAAAAGACTGCAAAAGGAGACCAAGCTGAGGAACACAAAAAGCCCAACAGACTAATGCTCTGGCTCTGTAGATGGCAATTCTCAATGTAGCTAATATCTGTATTTCTAGCTCAGTGGAATTATTTAGCACTATTAAAATGAGGCATCATATTTTAGCCTCAACTGTACTGGGTTCCTTATTGCAACCACTGCTATATCTCGAGTATGGTTTCTTGAATAAGCTACAGTTGGAAGGTTCATACACTCTGGTGTCCTGTGAACATTAGTTGACAAACCATGTTAAGACAAAAGCAGACAAAGCACATTTTGGTTCTACATGCAAAATCAGTCTAAATCATCAGACAAGCATGATGTAATTAAACTTTTCTCACAGGAGGAAAAAAAATGCTCCTTCAAGAAGGGAGGGAGAATGTTTGGTTCATTCACCACTTTTGTAATGGAAATCACCCACCACCACAACTATTGTGTGAGTTCTGTGCCCAGGACTTCTTAGATCTTGGTTCTAGTTCTAGCTATAGCTAGAACCAAGAACTAAGGTGTCCTGGGCAGATGTCTAATTCTAGCCATAGAATCAAGATCACACAAATTCTAGCCATAGAATCAAGATCACACAAAGTAATATTACCGCTTTATAAAGCCCTATAAAGCAGGGGTGTCAAACTGCCGGCCCATGGGCCGGTTTCATCATACTGAAGCCACGCCCACCCCCATTGCTGGCAATGGCAAAACCGGTCTGATACGTTGTGTGACGTCACGAGTTTGACACCCCTGCCCTAGTAAGACCACACCTGGAATACTGCAGCCAATTTTGGTCACCAGATCACAAAAAAGATGTTGAGAGTTTGGGAAAAATACAGAGAAGAGCAACTAAGATGATCAGGGGCCTGGAGACTAAAACATATGAAGAACGGCTACGGGACTTGGGTTTAGCTAGTCTAAAGAAAAGAAATAGGGGAGACATGATAGCCGTGTTCCAGTATCTGGGGCTGCCACAAGGCAGAGGGGGCCAGTTTGTTCACCAAAGCACCAGATGGAATGACGAGAAACAATGGTTGGAAACTGATCAAAGAGAGAAGCAACCTGGAATTGAGGAGAAACTTCCTGACAGTGAGAACAATCAACCAGTGGAACAGCTTACCCCCAGAAATAGTGGGCGCTCCATCACTGGAGATTTTTAAGAAGAGACTGGACATTCACCTGTCTGAGAGGGTATAGATTCTCCTGCTTGAGCAGGGGGATGGACTAGAAGACCTCCAAGGTCCCTTCCAGCTCTATTCTATTCTATTCTACTCTAATATAATGTATAATATATTATTGACTGCTGATTGCCAGCAGTTCAATCCTGACCAGCTCAAGGTTGACTCAGCCTTCCATCCTTTCAAGGTTGGTAAGATGAGGACCCAGATTGTTGGAGGCAATATGCTGACTCTGTAAACTGCTTAGAGAGGGCTGTAAAGCACTGTGAAGCGGTATATAAGTCTATGTGCTATTCTATTGCTAGTTCTAGTTCTAGCTAGTCCTTCAATCTTAAAAGCAGTACTGATATATCTTCTATGTTCCCAAACAGGCAACAGGTTCCAGAAAAGAACCAGAAGAAGAAAAAGACCAAGTGGCGAGGAGACAGAGCAACTGGTTCCCACAAACTGCATTGTGTGATTTTGTGACTGTCTCTTCCTGTGTTTTTTGGGGGAGGGGGTTTCCCATTCCAACTTGAACCTAAAGAAACAATTGTACAACCTAACTGCAACTTGACTTTTCAAGGAAACAGTTCCTGCCCAAAAGAACTCAAAGGGAAAAGTTCTGGGCATTCTTGAGATTCAGCCACACGATTATTTGGCAAACGATGCAGAACGGTTTTACCTTTAAAAAAAAGAAAAGAAAAACATGTTACTCCAAAGCAGGGGCAAAACAAAACCCAAGTTTTATGACTGTTGGCCATTTCAATAGTCATTATTTTAAAATTACTGGGGTGACTAAAAATGTTTTATGTGCAAGCATTCCTAAGGGGACCTTACTTCTAAAGAGTCATTAATGGCTTTACTTAGTACTGAGCGTCTTGTCAATCAGGGTCAATATTTCCTTTCTTGGCAGAATTTCCTTTTGCACTGGATTCCTGGTATGTCTTCAGTGATGCAAATCATGTATATGTGTCTGTGTGTGTGTATACAAAAGAAGCTGGTGTGTAGCCAGATCTTTATAAGGCAGTGCCAGCAAAAAGGATGAAGGAACATGAGGGGGAGGGGGTTGTCAGTCCCCATCCGGGTTGTTCAACCTATGTGCCAGGTTGTGTTTTGTCAGTAAAAGGTGGCTCTGAAAAGAGTGAGAGGGCAGCCATTTTGCTAGTCCTGAGAAGTATTTAAATTAAATGGTTATTTACAAATAATAAATATTTGTAAATTTTGTTATTTACTTTTGTTATTTTGAAGAAAAGAAACATGGATAAAATGTTGATGTAGATATAAACTGAACACATGATGCCTGGCTATGAAAGTGCTGATTCTGTAGTTTCTGCAGTTTTCGTGGCAAGAGTTTTTGGAAGTGGTTTGCTGGTTCTGTGCTGGTTGATACTTTTGGCCTTTTTGTTTAAGCCCCATAATGTAACACCAGCTTTCCCATTATAGCTCTTTCTGGACAGCTTGGATTTTTATTTGGAAACAGAAAATGTCTTCTTCAGTAAAACAGTTGCTGTTCTCATGCCATTTATACATTCCTATATTCAGAAGTTTTGCCTCTACTTCTAAAACTCAAGGATTACAGTATTTAATGCTTGGACTTATATGTTGGTGCAATACAACTGCATGTATTTTTCATGTAGGTTCCATCTGAGTCATAATCTTTTTAAAATGGAAAGGATTCCATGCTATTCTATATTCAGGAAGATATTTTCATAAACATACTGTCAGGCAGCATGGTGGATAATGGAATGATGTATATTGATCCATATCATGTATATTGTATATGTATATTGATTCATATTAACCAACTACATCAAGTTGGCTGAAAATGATCAGTGGTATTCAAACATGATGCACATATCTTTGTATTCAGAAATGAGACAGCAGAAGGACCACAATGTACTTGAAAGCAAAGGAACTAGGAAACAGGTTCCAAGCATTGGTAATCATTGTATCAAGTGTTTCAGAGATTTAGTTTTATTCTGGAGACTAAACAGCACCACATTTTATTCCTTTATCAGATTGCATCATAAGGAAATGGGGCGCAAATTATAGCACAGTATGATACTTTAAGCAGTATAGCACAATTAAGTTGTCAAACTGAAACTGGAAAAGTTCAAATTCAGGTCCCTCATTGAACATAACCTTCACTGGATAATCTTGGGCCAGATAGACTTTCTGCCTACTCCATATCCCTACTAAAGCAATGGGAATTACTAGCATACATGTTTCAAATTCAACCAACTTCACGCCCTCCAGGTATCTGTTGAATTATGTCTGCCATGCCTCTAGCCTTTACTAGTAAGAATGATTCTGTAACTCTGGCTTTAGACACAAAAAGTTAGCATACCTTATTTGGGTCAGGCTAAAGCCCATCTTAATCCAGCATTTGGTGTCTCATAATGGCTTACTAGACACTTCTGAACTACATACTACACAAAAGTGATGGAAACATATCTCTCTTCCACATACTCTCTACAACAATTATTTGGAGGTAATTATTACCCAGAGGTAATAATGAGACTTCAAAAATCAATAGCCTTAAAATCAGGGGTGTCAAATTGCCAGCCCGCGGGCCGGTTTCATCATACCGAAGCCGCGCCCAACCCATTGCTGGCAATGCAAAAAGAGTCGTGATACGTCGCGACACGTCACGTGACATGGCGAGTTTGACACCCGTGCCTTAAATAGAACTGTCCTACATGAATTTTTCCAATCTTTTTTTAAAGCCATCCAAATTAGTGGCCCTCACCCTGTCTTATGATAATAAGTAGATGGAGGCCACTTTAAAACTGCTGGCACGATATACAGCTCTGGGGAGCAAGCGGCTGCTCTAATTAATGTTGTGTGAATTACACCCGCACATATATAGACTTTGGATAAAGTGCATAATAGTGGAGGGAAAACTCCAAAACCATCCAGTGAGAGAATACAAATATATGCAGAATTCAGGGCAGAGCAAATGGTCCAGAGAGAACAATTGTTCTTATGAACTGCAGCTCTGGGCTTAGTTGAAGTCGAATTATAAAGAGAGCTTTCAGTTGCACACGTAAGAGAGGTTCACCCATTCCATGCTGGGTTTTCCCCCCTTTAAAGCAACTGTTCTGCCAGATGAGAGTAATGAATATGCAGCAGTTCATGGGAATAGCCTCTCTGGCAATTAGGACAAGGGCTGATGTGGAAAGAGGGCAGGCAGACAGACCCTCTTTGCATCTCAATAACGGGAGCACCTCTGCTGTTGTAGCTGAGTGGTGGAAACCAGCCAGGACGTCTGGCACACACTTCTGGTACAAACAGACCCTTGTGTGCCTATTTCCCAATGAAAGCTGGTGTGGGTGTGGGCATGTGTGTAAAATACAAATGCAAAGCACCGAAACAACTGCAGGAAATTCAGAAGGAGAACTGATACCCCAACCCTTCTCACGCCATTGTGGAGAAGGAACAAAACACAATGATGTGATTTGGAGAACCAGCAGCTCCTTTCTTTCTTTTTTGACCTTCCTGTTCTTGGTCACTTGGATTGAGCTGAATTCCCATCACTTCTACATGTTCAAGAAGTATGGGGGGTGGGATGCTTCCGTCTTCTCATAATTTCAGCTACTATGATGGGGTGGGGAGAACATCTGACCATTCCCTTGATTCAACATAAGCCATGTGTAAGGAAATAATGTCTAAGAAAAATTACGAAGAAAAGGAAATGGTATATATGCTAGCTTAAGCTTCTGGAGGAAAGGCGGGGCATCCATTTAGGATAAAATATATTTTCATGCTGACACAAAATTCAGAACTTAACAAACCTTCTGTTATTCCTAAAAAGAAAAAAAGAAAAAAAAGCTTGTTGTGTAATCTTGCATGTGGGGAAGATTTAATGAGAAATCCCCTTGTAAAGCCAAGAGAGTCACATAAGCAGAATCAAGAGTAGAGCCAGTGGTCCAGAGAGAGAAAAATCAGCATCAGTAAAAAGAAGTTTATGGAGGGGGAACCAGGAAAAGTGGCAATTGCATGTACAGAATTACAAATAATTCAGCACAGTCCATCTAATTTATTTGTTACATGTATCTTGGGTTTCAGGGCATCCTCAGTTCCTTGTAGAGAAGATGGTTTGAGAGAGGATATTGGGACTTCCTGTAGTGTAACTTAAGCAGGATCTCACTACTAATGCTTCTTCCCACTATCCTACTTATTGAAAACGGATGATACGTGAAGAAGCAGCTTTTTCAAAAACAAAAACTGAATTCCCTTTATTCAGGCTTCTTAGTCTGCAGCCAACCAATCAGATATTTCAGGAGATGATGCCAAAAACTAGAGATTGTCATAACATCTCGTATTCCAATATCAGAGGGTGGTTTTCTGCAAAGCATGTTTTTGCCCAAAATGACCTTTAAACAAGCCATCAACAACCAAACAAAGTCTCTTCTAGTGTGCCCTGGCTGCTGCTGTGCCATTTGGTGCTTGGAGATTCTGTGGACCAGAGTACCTATAATACAGAGAAGGGTGAGAAAGGACAGGCTACACTGGGTTCCCAGAAATGGAACTTGTGAAGCCATCAGAAGATAGCACTGTTGCTGCCCACTCAAGTTTATTACTTGCCATTCACAAATTAGCATGTTTTCGTGCTTCCCTTGTCCCTCACTACATATTAAAGAGAAGCCACAAGACATTATTGAGCCTGTTTTTAGTTTAATATGGTTCATGGATGAATGTCTATGCTCCACTAATTTTATTCCTTTCTAAAATACTTTAACCAACTTATTCTTAAAAGACTCTAAGCCATATGAAAACAGAAACAAGCCATTGCAAAAATAAATGCATAGAAATGGCAGATATGTCCTGTTTACTTGGATTGGGTGGGAGAGGCAGCCTTGAAGCTATGCAGCCCTTGAGCCATTTTGGATTTTATAGGTAAGAGCCAGCATCTTGAATGGCATTCAGAAACAAACTGATAAGTCAATACTACTCTCACTGCAAAGATATTGCATAACAATAATAAGAATATCCCACCCGCATTTGAATGTATCTGAGTAAGAATGTGTGCATGTTTGTTATATTGAAAGAAGAAACCAGATACCATCTACTATACTTGCATTGAATTACTGGTGCATTTTTTAGCTCTATGGCATATGCAATACCAATCCTTCAGTTCATTAGAGGTTTCTGATATGT